ACCTACTGGCCATCTGAAACTGGTTCCGCTTTTTACATTATAGCCCAAGAGTTACTCATAAAATTATACATAAAGCACAAGTTCAAGGGACTTGGGAAAAACACATCCGAAGTTCTCATTTTTGTCATTTTAACATAACAAATTATCAAATGCGTTTGCATAGATGAGGACTCTCAGGATACTGTTATCTGTGATCTCGAATCTGAATTAGATAAATCATTCACACAGAAAATCATTGAATACTGATTTACTACACAGCTCTTGGCTCTCCATTTGTATCCATATACACAAAACAAAATTTTCCAATATTTGAAATGGAAAAATGACATTAATAAGACTAACAAAAGTAATGAGAGCTTTCTTCTTATACTAGAAAATGAGTAAGAAGGCAGCAGGCTTGTGAAACAAATTGGAAAGAGAAAGAATTTGAAGTAAATGAGGCCTTGGCCTTTTAAACTACCAAATCCACCATTTATACAATATAAAGAGTGACAGAGGCTTCCGGAAAAAAGCTGCAAGGGAAAGCAAAGCTGCTGAGTAGTGGGGAAAAAAACCACTAGAAAATATAAAAACCTACAGTTACAAAGAGAATAAGGAAATGATACCACTAACTCCAGCCTGAAGTTTAAGAAACAGTGAAGAGCGACAAACAAATTAGACATGAATGTGTTAGGTCTTTTCAAATGTATACACAAATAAAAGGCAAATCTCTTAATTCTTTACAGTTTATAGCAGACAACCATGAACATCTATTTTTCTCTGACTTTAAGACTTTAGTTTTAAATTAGTCTTTTTCAAATTCTATTGCTGCATGCAAGATACTCATTTACTATGGGAAAAAATGTAGCCTAACCCAATATATGTGACTGGGTAAGGAGACCAATCTAGTTCCCAGACAGAAATTATTTACAGCCAAAAATTATACTTGCTAATACACATTATTCTATTGCTTTAGAGCTTAATTATCCTTTTATTTATTTATTTATTTGGTGCCAGAGATCTAATTCGGGACCTTGCGCTGGTGAGGCAGGCGCTGGAACCACTGTGCTACATCCCCAGCCCCCAAATTATCTTCTGAAATACAGATATTGGTCCCTGCCTTTGATCTACCATCAGAATAAGATTTGACTTGTTCAGCTATAAATCTTTCAGAGTTGGGTCAAGAAAATACAGCACACGGTCATCCTCACTCCTACGATATCCGTCGTGAAGTCTGGGCCAAGCCCATGATTGCCCCAATGGCAGGGGAAAGGGAAAGTTTAGGGTCACCCTGCTCCCCATGGCGGTCATGATGAAGAACCAAGGCACTGGGAGGTCGGTACTGTTCTTAAGAGCCAGGCGGGCAGGTGGCAGGAAAAGGAAAGGAACTGGACTCCTGGGCCAAGAGAGGAAATGCTCTGTGGCACGGTGTGGCTTCTGGGGCCTGGGTGCTTTACTCACCCTAAGGCAGGGTCAGGAGCGTGAAAGCCGAAGAGCACAGCTTTGGGTGGGAATCGCAGCCTCTTTCCTAAGTCCAGAGTGGAAGCTGGACCCGACTCGGGGACTGAGCCTTGTGATCTAAAGCACAGCATCATGCAGCCACCAGACGAGTCAGGACACCGTGACTTCCCTCCCATGATACAGGAATGTCGTGTTCTTAAGGAAGACGCTCCATGAACGGGAAGCCAGTCAGACGGCACCGCGTGCCTTGATTCACATGAAATCCCACAAGCCAGGGATTCTTTCACAATAAAAATGCCTACTGGAAAGAGAAGCATAAATGGCATTAATTAACACTACAAGGGAGACTTTGAAGGAGTAATACTTAAAGCTTATTTAAAGCATTGAACAAGACTGCATACAAAAATCTGTTTTTACATTTTTACTTAGGCGGATGTGGCAGAGTGCTTGCCTAGCACGTGTGAGGCCTGGGTCCCATTCCCAGCACCACAAGCCAAACCAAACCACAAGGTATTTCATTACGGCCAGCTCTTACACAGAAAGCGGAGAGGAAGTTAGTAGAATTGTAGTTTTAGGTGTTATGGCTGGATTTGGAGGAAATCAACTGAAAATAGATGAAAAATCTACAGTAGTGGGCCAGGGATTTAGCTCAGTGATGCCTGCCTCTCAAGTGCAAGGTCCTGAGTTCAATCCCTGATACCCCCAAAAAATCTACCATAGAGGGGCTGTGCAGGCTGAACCGTGGACTGCCACACATCAGGTGAGTGCTCTACCACCGATCCACCTCTCTCCAGCCTTAGAAGATTAAATGTAAGACCACAATCTATGAAACCCTTAAAAATATAGGGGTGTGTCAGTCAGCTTTCCTGCTGCAGGGACACAAAAGGGGACACCCACAACTTAGAGGAAGAGAAGGTTACACGTCAGTGAAAATCTGGACCAGAACCAGCACTGACCACTCCAAGTCCCACCTTTTTATACTTTTGCTATTTACTACCTGAGGGTCAAATTCCAATAAAAATCAAACACTTTTGGAAGTTTTACGCATCCATGGCTATTATCAGTATCCTCTCGCCCAAGTAATAGTAATTTTAAGACTTGTTTCTTGGTTAATCCCTGTAGGATAAAGGCCAAATTCATCCAAAATTCCTTGTCGATTTTTCCCTTCGCAGTGATAAATGAAAGTTTCTTGATGTTCAGAGTTCTTGGATTTCTGTATTTTTCCCACCAAACCGCAGCAGTTCCACAGATTAAAATAAACAAAAACAGTTCGTGATATAGTAAGAACAAGCACCCCATCAAAGTCTTCTAAAGTCCTTTTTTTTTTGGTGATGGGGATCGAACTCTGGTCCTTGCGCTTGCTTTTGAGGCAGGCGGCGGAACCACTGAGCTGAATCCCCAGCCCCTAAAGTCCTTTTAAATTGTGGTCTTTCACATTTATTTCTTGAACTTATCTGGAATTGCTCCAGAAAGAGGGGGTCTCCCCGGTGCTTAGGTGAATTATCCCAGGAGTTGCACGTTGTGGCCTTTGAGCTGTCTATGCTTCTGAGGCTGTTTGGACCGTCCCAATAGAGAAGTACGAGGTGCTTTATACTGAACGAAACAAAGACGGCAAAATGAAAGCAGCCCTCTGTGGTAGGAAGGCGCTGTGGGTCCTGACTTGTCCAGTACCCACCTTCTTCCTTCACAAAGTGAAGTCGTAACTGTCTTTGGGACCAAGGGCCAGTGGCTAGAAGAGTCCCTGGCTTTCTAGACCAAGGTCACACTGCTCTCTGGGAAGCAGAAAGAGATTGAATGGGACAATTAGAAACTAATCAGGAGCAAGCAGAGCCTGAAGGAAAGGAGCGATGCCGGATAATACAAGTCCCCAGGGTCCAGAAGTCGGGGTTGTTGATGTATTGCAAAGAAAAGGAACATTCAGCATTACATGAAGGTCCTGGGTTGAGGCAGCTCCAAGGACTGGACTTACCATCGGTGTACCTCGTCAGCACCATCCGTCACTGTCCAGATGTTCTTCTACAAGCCCCACCCACGCAGGAAATCGCCTTAAAGATATTTCTCACTGCAAGTAAAGGCCTCAGGCAGATTCCTTTCTGGAGTGGCACCTTGGGCTGGGTGTTTTTCTCTTCCAACAATTAGAGTCTCCCAGAAGAAACCACTAACCCCTGCCCGGAGTCAATTCAGCCCTTCTCCTGAGGAGCTGTACATCATCTTGGTGGGTTCTACTCTGCTACAAAGGTGCAGTTTATGAGGACCTAGGTGCTGATAGGTGTGTTCTGGTTCTGAGACTGCAAAGAAAGTCTAGCCTCTCCATTCAGTATTTCCCGATGGCAGGGTGAGGGGATGGGAGTAGAGATACAGCATTTTCCATGCAACTTGGATGGGTTAGTTCAGTTTTTGTCAGAAGATCTCTGTATCAGTCACTTTCCTGTCCCAGGGATAAAATACCTGCCCTCTGCAACTTAAAGGAGGGGTAGTTTATTTGGCTCATAGTTTCAGAGGGTTCAGTCCATGGCCAGTTGGCTCTGAGGAAGGAATGTCATGGTAGGAGGACCTGTTGGAGGATTCAACCTAGGGCAGCCAGAAAGCAGAGGAGGGGAGCCAGAGAATACTCCCTTCTGGGTCATGCCTCAGCGATCCCTTCTTGTAACCAGGGTTTGTTTCTAATAGCACCTTAAGCTATGAACTCATTACAGCATGAGTCCACAGATGAGCACAGCACTCCCATGATCCAATTGCTTTCCAAAAGCTCCATCTCTGAACACAGGAGGCTTTGGGGGAATGTTTTAGATCCAGACCACAACAATTTCTATTTTGCCAGGCTCTTTCTTTATTTTTTGGCAGGAGAAAGTAGGTTTTATTCAGGTATTTGTCTACATACACTGGCATTTCTGAAGGCTGCCAGCTCAGAATATGTGAGATGCAGGCAGAAAACCAGGGAACTCGACATCATGCTGCCCATAAGTACTGCGATCTCTGTCCTCTTTTACCTCTGTCTCTCCACTTCCAGAGTCACCTTATGTTTGCTTCACATAGAATGTCCAGGGCTTTTACTTTAATTAATGAGAAGACTAAGGGAAAATGAGTCTGCTCCATCTTTTCTAGAATCAGAAATCCCACTCCTTTACTGGAAAATATTGCTTTATTCCTGGGTAACTCTGCAGTCCCCACTTGGAGGAACTTCTCCAGCAAAAATCAAAAGCTAGGGCTGGGGATTTAGCTCAGTAATTCCACCGCCTGCCTCGCAAGTGGAAGGTCCTGAGTTCAATCCCAGTTCCAAAAAAACCCAAAACAAAACCAAAAGCTACAAACACTTGTATTCTCCCCAAAACATTGAGGGCTCCTTCCCCAAATACCTCAGCTAGACTGCTACCCACTGTGCCCATGGCCCAGTAGCTGAGGAGTTGAGGGACATCCTACCAAATCCCATACATCAGTGTATAGTAAGACAAAATAAATTTACAAAGCAAACTTTCAAAGATTACAGCTACAGCATCACGGACTATTGACCTATAACCTCCCTTCCCTTAGATAATAATGAAATAAAGAAAAAAAACCTGTTACTTTTTATTGTTTTTTATTTAGATCTTAATTGAACCAGCGACATCTCTCTCTCCATTAATGTGCCACAGGACCTCTATCTAACACCCACAAACGCCACGTCAGTTGTACAGGTGAGGAGGAGCTGTAACCCCGATGCCTCCCCTGTTCGCCAGGGATCAGCCTAACAGTGCCACTGAGATAACGACTGATGAAAGGGCGCGTCTTCTGAATACACAGCTCTTTCATGTTCAGCCAGAAGACCTATCCCAGGTCTGATGATTGACTTGCTGAAGCTGGAGGGTGAGATGTTGTTTTGGAAGGTTCCTCTCTTCGTCTGCTTTTGGGGTTTCCTACCTGAAGCCGCTGGCTGGCCTCTTTCTTCCCATGAGAGCTCTTGCAATTCGAGTGTTGAACTGGTTGTGAGTTTTCTTGTTCAGACAAGAGTCTGAGCTCCTGCAGACCTGCTCTTTCTTCTGAAAGGCTCCTGGCAGGCAAGGCAAGCTCTGCCCACTGCTTTCTATGCGCTCTGCTTCTGGTGGTGCCTGGGTTCTCTTGGCCTGTGGGTGGTTTCTTTGCAGTGGCTTCTCAGGGGACGTCCCCTGCCAGGCCCGGTAGGACTCCTTGAGGGTCTGCACTCTGTGCTGTAGGATCTGACACTGGTTCTCCAGCAGGGCCGTGACCAGGTGTAGGGCGTGGGTGTCGTGGTTCAGCCTTCTCACCGCCTCCTCCAGCGTCTGCTGGGCAGACACGTGGCTGTGTGCTTGGCTTTGGAGCTGGGCCTGGCTGTCCAGAGCTGCCCACCTGACCCTGTGAGACTGCTGGTAGGATCGGATGAGTTCGCTGAGCTCCATATGCTGCTGGCTCCAGTGCTCTGCTTCCTGCAGGAGCTGCTCCATGTTGTCCTGGAGTTTAGCATTTTCTTCTTGGACCCCAAGGGACCCTTCTCCTCCTTCCTTACTCAGCTGAGCTCTGGTAAGGGCTCTTTTGCCTTCCGGATGCTTCTCCCAATCCCTTGCAGAAAGGTGTCCAGCATTCTTAGGGTTCTGGTTTTCCAATACGAGCCCCTATTTCTCCCCTAGGTCTAAACAAATCAGCAGGTTTTCCGACACCACTCTATCAGCCTTATCCAGTCCTCCGGCTTTTTCTTGATGTTCTGGCCCATCTTTAGAAATCTTGGTTTCCTCAGAAGATTCTTTTGCTTCTTCGACTCCCCTGAGGGCTGCCACGCTTTGAAGAACATCTCTGAGGCCCCTGAGGAGGTCTTGAAGCTTCTGTGTGGTCAGTGGCCCTGGGATGTGGCGGGTGATGTTCAGGGAGGGGAGGGAGCCCCAGCAGGAGGGGGAAGGGGAGCTGATTTCCAGCATGGCAATGGTGAGCCTAGGCCCCAGAGCCTTGTGGTGGGGTCAGGAGCTGCGTCAGGGGTGTGGGAGAGGGGCTGTCTCCCCCGGGCTGTTGGAGCTGGCCATGGCCCTTGGGGAGCCCTGGAAGGACAGGGGAGGTCCTTGGGCATGGGGCTGGAGAAGCTGGAGCCGAGGGGGCAGGCAGTAGGGATCAGGCCTGAAGCAGGGGGAGCGTTCAGGTGGAGGGTGACATCGCTGGTGGCCTGGGGGCACGTGGGAAGGGGTACCGGGAGCTAGGGCTGCATCTCCCTTTTCCGAGGCTCCAGTACTTATCCCTGACCCTAGCAACCAGGGCTTTATTCTCTCACTGGGCTTTGTGGCCTGTCCCCACTTCAGGCTCCTTGCCTCACAATGGGAGCCTCTTAAACAATGCCTGGTGACACCTGTGTCAACATCTGCCTTGAACCCTGCACCCCATTCTTCACTGGAACCCACTCCCACTCTAGGGAGATGCTGCTGGGAAGGAAGCTAGGGTTCAAAACGGAACCCCAAAAGGGCTACATCTTTTTGTGATTTTAGGAGAGTAATGTCAGAGATCCCTCCAAAAGTGCTCTACTGATGTGAGGAGAGACTGTCAGAATGGATCTTTAATGGCTCAGTGACAAGCTGGGGGCAGTGGAGTGTGCCTGTAACCCCAGCTACTCAGGAGGCCGAGGCAGGAGCATCTTGGCTTTGAGGTCAGCCTGAGCAACTGAGCAATACCCTGTCTCAAACCAAACAAAACCAAACCTCAAAACACAAAACTCAAAAGGGAAAAAAGAAACGACCTATACAATGTACGAATTGGGATTTTTCTTGGTTTTGAATATGGCAACCTTAAGACAAGCTTAAGGAGCTTATTCATGAATCATTCACATCTGCCGGGATAAAACTTGAATCACCACCTTCACAGTGGCTGCTCAACATAGCCATTTCTCTAAAGCACCTGACACAGCTGAGTGCTTTGCAGGCGGCACAGAGTCCTGGAGTAACTTGGAACCCAGTGCGTTCTTGTCTCTTGCCCTTAGGATCAGGACCTGGGGAACAGGAAGTTCAAAGCCAGTTTGTGCTACGTGCAGGGGGCTTTTCCTTGGCCTTCAAAACTTTGCTACCAACAATTCTGCTAAGTAGATTTTTGCTTCCATACTTAAGGAAAAACTCCTACTGTTCCCTTTTCCCTAGTGAGGAGACATTTGTGTGTTTTCTCTTCCACAGCGACCAACTCCCATGGCCCTCAGTTTTCCTGAGCCTCAGGCTGCTCCGGGACTCAGGGCCAGGGCTGCTGTGACCCAGGACGGCAGCTGTGGTTCTGGCCTGAGGAAGGGGCACCTCTCCTAACCCACTCAGGATGCCGCTGGCCAACCCGCCTGTCCTCGATCAGTTCCAGAGGGTCGGTTTGGTGGCCTCCCCTTTGACTCCAGTGACTTTGGAGACAGTGTTTAATCTCCAGGATTAGGGGCACTTTTCCCTGATTTGTGGTCAGATAATGTCTCTTGCCTGACAAGTATGAGGCCCCGGGTTCCATCGCTAGCATTGCAAAAAAGAAAAGAAAGGTCTACAATTGGTATTTTCTTTTTGCCTCATGGAGTGTAGATGTTATTATTTGAAGGGCAATGTGTTCTCCATCTGATTTTCTTGTGCTTGCAGTTTTTCTATAGTGTTGGACATAAATCTGACTCTCCTCGTCTTGACTTGTAAGGAAAGTGGTTTGAAGGTAGTTTAGTCAAGGAAGGAAGAGAATTTTTTCCTTTAACCGGCGGGCTGCAGACCCTGTCCTCGCGCGTGGCGCCAGGGCCGGGGGCCTCTGCGGTCCGCTTCATTCGAGACTGAGGTGGGGTACAGGTGCCGCCGGACACTTCCAGAAACTTTTCCTCAGCAAGCCTCTTCTCTTTGGCCGCTAGGTGGCGATGTAGGCTTTTTAAACTCAGGTGGTGCGTGTGCCCGAGTGCATTCGTGTGTGTGTGTGTGTGTGTGTGTGTGTGTGTGTATTTGAACTCTAGAATGACTGGAATCTTAGAGATGTTAACTCTAACTCTCTTTCTCTCTCTCTCTCTCATCTAAGGGCGCTCTACCACTGAGCTGCATCCCCAGCTATTTCTGTTTTTTATTTGGAGACGAGGTTTCCCTAAGTGGCCCTCCCTGGCCTTGCACTTGGATCCTCCTGCCTCAGCTTTCCCAGTAGCTGGGATCACAGGTGTCCATCACCACCCCTGGCAGTCTCATTTTCCTCGGGTCTGGAAGGGGAAGGGGAGAGACCTGCCCTTGCTGAGGGGAGCTGGACCTGAGTCCCACTCTCCCGCCTGGTGCAGTTTGCAGGAGAGCCTGGTTCTGGGAGCAAGAGGCCCGAAGGATGCTCTGGCAGGAGGTCCGTGGGGGAGAGCAGGTTCCCCACACAGACAGGACAGGATTGTTTCACAGGACCTGGGCAAAGGAGCCTGTGCAGAGTTTAAGTTAAAGGGAAAAAAAGCTCATTACAGTGGAGGACACATCACCAAGAAGGATGGGATAAATGTGTTCAGGGTGGGGCTGTTTTGAGGGATTAATTGCAGGGATCAGCCCTCATTGATCAAACATTCAAAGCAATTTCTGTCAAATGAAAACATGGCGCTGTGTCCTCGTCCACCTTCTCCACCAGTCTGGCACCGAGGGACTCCTGGCTCTTCCCCAAAGTCAAAATGACCAGGAAAAGTCCGGTTGAAACACTGACCCCCATCCCCACTGCTTGCTCAGTATCTCAGATGCTCGGAAGCATTCCCAAGCCCCCACCTGGTTTCTGCCTCCATGAATGGCACCGTGGAATTTCATGAGCCAGAGTCCGTGACCTGTTCTGTCCTCTCTCCTGTCCTTCCCCGCTTAGAGCCAATCGAGCAGCAAGTCCCAGCCTTTCCTCCTCCCAGCCTCTCTCCAGTGTGTCTTCCGTGTCCCCACACTGCCTCTATCCGGTCCTGGCCACCTTCTCCATGCCCTTTAGCCCCTGCCCCTCCTGGGTCCCCCATCCCCCCTCATGGCCCTGTGGCCGAGGTGTTGCCCGAACAGGCAGAGCTCTGGGGGATCAGGAGGTCACCTTGGAATTCACGGGGTCTGTGCCAACTTTGCTCTCTCTCTCTCTTTTGTACCAGGGATCGAACTCAGGACCTTGCACTTGCAAGGCAGGTGCAGCGCCACTGAGCTAAATCCCCAGCCCCTAAATTTGCTTTTTTCTAGCAATGGGTCCTTGGGCAAATCCCTTGTCCACTCTATGACTCAGTTTCCTCATCTGTAAATTGAAATAACATTAGTCCCTATCTCACAGAATACCCATAGGATCAAGTGAAAAAATTAGAGTGTGCTAGTTTCCGGTCCTATCACAGAATGCCTTTATAATCCTTGTCCCCGCCTGGCATTAGATTTGCTGTCCTTTTCTTTATTACTTTGCCTTATCAGAATATAAGCTCTACAAGGCAAGAAATTTGTCTTGTTTCTCCTAAGTCTGTAAAATCCACAACTCAGGAAAGTACTTAATTACTTTTTGTAGAATGGTTGAAGAAAGGTTAGCAGTTGGAGAGTTGTCCTGGTAGTCTGTAGCTGAAGCTACTAAGTTCCCCAAGGTGCAGAGCAGAAATAGATGCTGTTTTCAGTGTTTGAAATGATCACCCAGAGCTCGGTGTAGACCTGCACAGCGTCACTGTAGCCCCCATGCCACTGAGACCAGGGCAGGACATCTGGTACCAATCCCCAGGGAGCTCTCAGGTTCCAGAGGGTGGGGGCTTAATCAGCCCCTCCGAGGGTTTGTCTCGAGGGTGCCCTGGGGTTTGTTGAAATACACTGGGTTGTGGAAAAAGCTTCTGCCACAGACAGATCTGCGTCAGCTTGCATGTCTCAGGGGCCAGAGCTGCTCCTACAGTTGTGCAATTGCAGCCCCGCCCCCCCGATCCTGAGGAGAAATCTGGGTCTGATCTTGGTTTTTCCGTACCTCTGCCCTCTCTCTTAGGATTCTGCCTGCTGCATAGCTGCTACTTCTGCTGGTTCTCTTCCTGCTCACACTCCTCCGGAGCAGTTTGGGAGAAGAACGCTAGTTTCTGTGAAAAGCTAAGGACACTGGTCTCTGAGGCGAAGGTCCGTGTTGTTTCCCAGCAGAGCTTTGGCTGAACGTGAGTGCTGGTGTGTGGGTCTCCCAGCCTCTGTAGGGCTGTTGGCTCGGCACTCAGCTAGGAGTAGAAACGGCCTTTTATCCTTCTTTCCAGTTGTTGACAAAGGTTTCTTTTGTGACACCCATGGCTGTTTTTTAAGTTCTCATTCCAGTCATCGGGCAGCTATGGCAGCTGCCCCACACCCTGACTCAAAGCCTGAATTTCATTTTCTTTGTGAGCAAGAGCATTCGCTGTCTTTTAGAAATTTTGAACGATGTTTGGATCACGGAGCTCACTTCAGCCTTCCGCTTCTTGTTTTAAATTTCAGGTTTCACTGGGTGGGGTGGGGTGGTGCATACTTATCATCCCAGCATTCTGGGAGGCTGAGGCAGGAGGTTTGCAAGTTCAATCCCAGCCTGTGCAACTAAGGACTTAGTGAGACCCTGTCTCAAAACAAAAATAAATAAAAGGTAGCTAAATGAGAAGGACATAGGTTCAATCCCCACGACGCTACCCCTCCCCGCAATTTAGGGTTAGGGGAGGTAGCTCAGTAATAGTGTGCCTAGCCTGCCAAGGTCTTGAGCTTCATCCTTGATACAAGACACACACACACACACACACACACTACAGCCATGAGGTGAGATTTCCTTCACCAGACCCTGCACCATGGTGCTGACCGTGCCAGTGACTTAGGACAGAGATAACTCCCAACCTGCTGTGTCGAGTTCGTGGCCCCAGAAATCGAAGCATGAATTCTAAAGAATAATGGAGGTTATGAGTGGAAAAGAGGTGCTGAGAGAGACACAGGACGCACTCAGGCGGGGAGCACAGGTGCTCAAAGGAATGAGGCACACACAGCTAGGAGTGGGGACTGGGAAACAGGAAGAGCCCCCGAGAGACAGGAGGGTCCCG